AGATATTTATAGTTTTCCCTTATCCCCACCTTAGAGAGAAAGAAGAACGTTCACCGTGGTCCAGATAATCTTCGTCTTGGTAAAGAACGTACACCAACCAGTCAGCCAGCCAGCCAGCCAGTCGAGACTTGATTTGCTTCGAACCGAAAATTTTCAGAGTAGACTTTGGTGTTTTAGAAATCAACCTCATAAATCCTCTTGCCTCTCTACTTTGAAAGAAGAAGAAGAAGGAGCTTCGGGTAAGGTGGTTTATGCACACCTATAGCCTCGAGCGTCTTCCTAGTATTTAAGAGACTAAGAAAGAGAATGAGAGGAGAGGAGAGAGAGAGAGGGGAGGAGTAGGCGAGAATGTTAAAGGAGGAAAAGAGAGAAGGAGAGATCCTACGCAGAAACTAGCTGCTGCTGTTGCTGTTGCTGTTGCTGCTGCTGCTGCTGCTGCTGCTGCTGGCCACAGGCGTATGGTTGTTTCTAAACCCACCTTATCTACCAGCCCCTATAATAAGCCGCGATTTGAGATCATATATCCCCTGCGCATTTCCATCCGCGTACGTTCGTTCGCGAGAACTCGCACACGTGTTCGAAAAGACGCATACTATACGTGTTACGTATACCAACGAGTTAAAGGGAGGGAAGGAAAGATATACGCTTATACATGCATATATACACACATACATGCATCATCTCGTACCAACAAGGTTCAAACTCTCCCTCTCTCACTCTCTCTTTCTCTCTCTCTCTCTCTCTCTCTCTCTCTGTCTACCCACAATTCCCGAGCGCGTTATAGGCCACAGAGCGCTTGCAATTACAAGCTGGTCAACATATAATTATCCCCAATGACCATAAATTACCGGATTTTTATGCGCAACATTCTTAATTACCCTTTGAATTAACATCAATCAACCCCCTTAATTGCACGCTGCTGTTGCTGTTACTGCTGCCGTTGGTACGCCGATGATGCGTCTCCGACGATCATCCTCCTCGCCCTCCACCACCATCACCACCTTCTCCTCCCTCTTCTCATACTCCTACTCTTATTCCTCAACATCGTATGTCCTCGAAGCAAAATGATTCTACTGGGATATAGCGATAATACGAAAACATAATCTCTCCCCCTGGAGGCTTCTAACGTGATATTGAAAAGAGAAGAAGATGGATATGCTAAAAGAAATTATTATTCAAGGTACTTACAAAGATTTTGATTTATAAATGTATTCATTTTTTTTCTCGATTATATAGATCAAATATCGACGTGATTTTTATTATCTTGTTCTGTTTTTTTTTTTTTTTTTTCATAAAATACTAGCGTGTAATGTTACATAAAATTTGACAAAGAATTACTACTTGATCAATTTTTCTAACATTATTTATTCCATATTTCAATATAAATTAAATTAATCGTCTTACTAATTCCTGTGATTTCCAATATAACCATTTATATTATTTATAATTCTAGATAATAACTCGTAGAATTTTATTTAGAAACTAACACGCAAAGATGTTCGTTATTATAAGCTTGATATTAAAGACAAGCACAGTCCACAACCAAAGATAGAACCGCAACGGGTTAATTACCATCTCTTGTAAAACGTTCGCCAGTAATTATTAGTAGAGATAGATGCGTCGAATAAAAGAGAAAAAAGTAGGAGGCCCCAGATAGAATTCTGCTTTGTATATCGAGGTAACTAGGTATCAAAGTTGATTTGGGGTAGGGGGATACTGGAACGCGTATTTTAAAGAAATAGAAAAAGGATAACGCGCTAAACGAAGATATAGTAAAATAGTATAGGGGAGGAAGTTGCGAGAAACTAAATGATTCGTTGGGGGAAAAAAAAACACGTGAATTAAATTTAACGATGATTAATCCATCCGTAAATTCGTGACCGTATAAGAAAGAGAAAGAAAGAATGAAAGAACGAATGAAAGAAAGAAAGAACGAATGAAAGAAAGAAAGAACGAATGAAAGAAAGAAAGAAATAGAAAAAGATAAAGGGATGTAGGGATCTTGAGAATTCTTGGCGTTAACGGAACGTAGTAATTATGAAAGTTAAGTCGAGGCTATGTCCGACCGATCACGCTATAATTTTTTCGATTTCTTTGTCCAGACTTAAGATCTTTCCATCCCCTCTCTTCAGCTAACCCCCTCATTCCCTCTATCTCTCTTTCTACTCTATTTCTTTCCTTCTCTCTCGCCTTTCTTCTTTCTTTCTCTCTTTCTTTTCTACTCTCGATCCAAACAAGAGAACGCTCGCGATAGGCTAATGAAACTGCACTCTCATTAAAGTACCCAGATCAACGATACTAATTGGCTAGCTTTCGGAATACCCACCATTATCCTCAGGACGCGATATAATAATCACCGCGGAATTCGATTTGGACAGGCAGTGGTTAAAGCGTCTAGTAATTTCACGGGCGCGACCCTAGAGCGATTAATACGAATCCAACGGAAATTAGCAAGCAAGCAAGCAAGCAACCAACCAACCAACCAACCAACCAACCAACCAACCAACCAACCAACCAGGCACAGAGAAAGAACCGACAAAAAAAAAGGAATATAACAAAATTAGAATTAGAAAAGATTCAGCGAGGTATCAAGAAAGAAGAGAGAAGCTAGAACTAAACTCGAATAAAATGAAATTGTTAGTTGGATCGCATTCGAAGGTATGAGAAATATTGTTGGAGAGAGAAAAAACGTAAGGCAAGAATGTGTTTTTTCTTTCTTTTTCCCCATCGTCCGTACTACTCGAGAGAGAAACCAGTCGACGACTGGTTGTTGGCTCTCTTCATCGTACAAAGTGTGGGTACACAGTGAAATCGGTTCGCTTTGACCAACGGTAGCTCGTTATCCGCGTCGCGAGACACTCGTGAGAGTAACTTATTGTCGGCATCGACCAACCTCTCTCTATTTCTCTATCAACAACAACAGCAACAACGTTCAAAAGTTGTCATTGTCTTGAAGATCTTGCCTGGAATATGTATTTTTACCAGGGTCCGTTATAAAAATCCCCTTTTTGCTTGGATATAAAGTAATCCCGGAAGAAGAGGTGGAGGAAAGAGGAAGATTGGGGTTCATGAGTAGAAGGAGTTAGAGAAGGAGTATGAAAAAGAAAAGGAGAAGGTGGGGGACGAGCATTCTCTCTCACCCTTTGATAATAATTTGTCCGTTGTAACCGGTTGGTTTCCTTCGCGTCCTTCTTGCTCGAAGCTTCCGCTCGATGATCCATCCAGCCGTTCGTCATAGGCGTCCGCGCTCATGGTTTAAAAAGTAAAGCGCTGGACTTGGGCCAGAGCAAAAATAGAAGCAGATGTTAGTTGCGTTCGAGGAGATGATGATGATGATGATGATGATGATGAAGGAGAGGAAGAGTTGAAGAGAACGAGGAGGAGGAGGAGGAGGAGGAGGAGGAGGAGGAGGAGGAGGAGGAGGAGGAGGAGGAGGAGGAGGAGGAGGGTACAAGACGATACTATATGTCGACTCCTCTCCTATGGTAGCTTCAATGGATCAGAGTGACAGAGTAGGGGAAAATTTAAAAAGAAAGAGAGAGAGAAAGAAAAGTTTCGATCCAGACGGTATACAGTGATTTCATTGCCCTTGAATTCTTACTAACAGAGCGCTTAGATAAAAATAATTACCCGGATAAATGCGAGATGCCTGTAGGCACCGTGTTACCGAGCAATTTTATTCTCGATCCTCCTTCTCCTCCTTCTCCTCCTCCTACTTCTCCTACTTCTTTTCCTCCTTCTATTCCTCTCTCCGCTCCTTCACCCTTTCCAACCCCTTTTCGTCTCCCACTCCGTACACTCTACGAGCTTTCTGGCCCGACCAAATGTTTTTGCTTTGAAGTCGGAAGATGAACGAGCTGCTTCTAATTTCCAGCGTCTGCATTCTTAACAGCTGCACGCTCGGCAGTTCGATACGGCCTCTAGCGCGGACTCTCCTCTCTCGTGCTTAATTAGTATCGTCGTGTTTACGCAAGTCCTCCTTTTGTCGTCGAGATCGTCGAGAAAGAGCGAACCGTTGTACTCGTCGAAATTGTTTTGAAGATTTTTTTAGGACATCCAGTTGACTTTAGAAAGATTTTCCTTATTTGCTTGAGTATTGGACTTCTTTTTTTTATTTCGGACGAATACAATATCAAAGATATTTTTAACGTGAGTCGTGCACCACGGAAATGTCCTATTTAGAATAGTGTTGTTATATTCTTTGCAACATGATAGAACTATAGAAATGTTTTTATTACTAATTGTAATGAAACGTGAATTTCTATTAAATAAGATTCTACATTGAGTCTAGCTAAATATATATTGACGTTCGTTCGATTGTAACTAAACGACTAAAACATACTTCGTATTATTATTATTATTATTGCTTGACTAACGTTATCATTATCGGTTATGGCCGTTTATGCAAATAAATCATCATCTGCATATCATATATCAACACGCAGTTAGGTATTGTATCCAGGAATCTCGTTACTCCGAGCGTAATTGTTGGAACGGTCCAGCATCGTGCTAGATCATTATTACTTTCTATTACAAGAATTGTCCATTAAGCAATATCCATGCACACGGTTTAGATTGTTTTTATTTTTTTTACAATAATAATGTTTACCTTCATAGCGCTTACAATCGAAAATTCATGCTATTGCAAAACGAACACAATCACACATTATAATTTTCTAATTAATTAAACATAAATCAAAAGTATTTGCTCTATTATTTCTAACGTTTGAAATACTAAAAACACATTAGGTATAAGAAAGAGACAGTTAATCGAAGTCTCCCTCTCTCTCTCTCTCTCTTTCCCTGTTGCTCTTTGTCTTTGTAGAGTGATCGAATCTTGGACACGAAACTCTGGAAAGCGAGTTATTATGGAATTGCGTTTCTAGTGAGGGATAGTAGTAGTGGGGATGAGGAGAAGCGAGGGTGTAGCTCGTAGAGCGTATATTGCGGTGTACGTACGCTATTAGATCGGTCCTCAGAGAGTTTTGGTCGATTTGCAGATTACGAGTCCCCGGCATGCAAGGCTGACATGGCGGAGGGTTCGGCCGAGGAGGAACAGAGCAGTACCGCTGCGCCCGCTTCCCCTCCAGCTGATCTTCGCACTCTGAACACCCAATTGTCGCCGCCTTATCACCATCAACCCCATCTCCAGGCACCACCGCGTCTTCAGCATTTGCAGCATCCCAACATGTTGGCCACCGCCGTACCGCCTAGGCACAGCCACAGCATGCTGTCTCATCAGGTGAAAACGGAAGCCGAGTTGGACGCTTCCTACGACGTGCCATTGAATCTCAAGAGCGAGGTAAGCTTCAACGAATCGACTACTAAACTATCGACGTTATATTAGTTTAACACAGGTACCACACTCCCCCGATAGATACTTCGTCGGTACCCTCCTACCCTCATCTTCATCGTACCTATTTTCATCTGTTTCTATACGTACGATCGAAGAATTGATCGAGAGATCAAGCTTCCTTTACGAATATATTTTGTTCTAGTTCCAATGGTTTTATGGTTATTAATTATAATAGGAAGAACGAAGTAAGAACCTTGTTACTTACTGAATACACGCGGCCACTTGTTAGAAAATATTGTATTACATTTGTACTATCATTACCTATTATCATTCATTTGTATTTTATTTTCCCATATTCTATGTAATTTGATTATGTTTTGAGTACGCCAATAATGCTAATGCTATAATATTTCAATGAACAGATCGTTAGTATTTAACATCCATGTAACATATATTCAATAATTAAAGTCAATAATAGGTCTAATTATTGGATTATTTGAAATGTTGATTATTGATCGACGAATTCAACATTTACGTTGAAAATAGATACTTTCACCTTTTACACTATGATATGATCGAGATGTTACATAATCATTATCATATTCTAATCTTTGTTCTCCTATTATTTAAGGGGAGTATTTTTTTTATTAATTTTGTTTCTTTCATACAAAAACATTTCAGTATAATAGTAGATATTTAATACTTATACTTTGAATCGTCTGTTCATAGCTATCGGCATAGTGGTTAGCAACGGTTTTGTGTGTCAATGACAAGCAATTGACCGATTAAGTAGACGACGTTGTCCAGCGTCCCAACCTAAATCGGACGATGATCTCTCCCTGACCTTTATATAATTAACGTACAAAATAAAGCGTGTCGAATGAGTTCTATCAGTGAACATGAGGTCAACGAACGGAGATCATCATTCCCTTTCATGGTTATTACGCAATAACTTTTGATTTTCATGTCGTCCTTGTACTTTGTACGTGAAAAACAATCAATCGATACTATGGATTGAAAATAATAATAAACAAAAATCCCATGCTTACATTTAAATAAAATCATGATTTTTATTTAATCGTTAATTTCTATCTTATTAAATGATAAAAGATTTAAAAAAAATGTGCTAAGGAAGAAAAGTTATGCAGAAAAGGTGCTCCCGTTAGTATGGCAAAAGTCGTGAGAAAATCTAAGACTCAAAATGTCAAAGTTTCTAACGGCCCGCGGCATTACCATCGTTGTCGTTGTTGGTGGTGTTGTTGGTGCTGGTGGTGGTGGTGGTGGTGCTGGTGATAGTGATGGTGGTGGCGGCGGCGACGGTGGTATGCAACTTCTCCTATGCGTCTACAAGACATTTGCTTAAGCGTTATGCGAAAGACTTCCGCGTTCCAACCGGCGGAGTAGTCTAATCACTGCCGGCATACAACTCTCAACCGAAGAAGCTTGCTCTCGATAATCGGTGCCCTATCACCCTACATCGGTCTTTTTAAAATCAATTCCTCTTTGATATATATATATATATATATATATATGTAAGGAGAGAGAGAGAGAGAGAGAGAGAGAGAGAGAATAAATTTTTATGGTTATCGGAGAATGTACAAAATTCGATAAAATGTGGCCATCGTTTTCCCTTACCCTAATATATGGTTTCTTTTTTTTTTTTTTTACATTCACTAAACTCACAATATTTTTATTTTTTTTGTCGATGGAAACTTGATAATTTGATAATAAATTAGATAAACTATCTGATTATAATATTATATAATTATTTTGTAAAAATTATAATACAGAAGATATTTATAGTAAATTACTTATGATAATGTGCTGGTTGAAATTAGTCAATTTATTTGATTTTATTTGAATTTTGTGTATATTATTCGAATAAAAATGCTTATTATCTAAGAAAATCTTTCTCTCTCTATCGATTGGTAGTAATGGTTAAAACTATGTATAATGAGATTCTGAAAGTTTTAATATTATAAGCACGTAGACTTAGGTTTCACGATCAGTATGCAAATAATTCCATATCCACATAACTTTAAACATAATTCCTCGATCTTACGATAGCAAATTTCTCTCCAAGTGAAAACTATCCTATTAAATAAAATCTAACACGTTCGTAGAGTTACGTAAAGGCAAATGAGCTCGAGGATTGTTAGACCGTATAAAGAAGCAAATATAATATAATATAATATATGTCTGAAAAGGAATTTTATCAAGTATTATGACAATTAGGCGTTATAAACATTTTTCTCAAACTTTCCTAATAAATTTGAAATAAAAATTAAATTAGAAGCAAATATAATATAGTACAATATGTATGAAAAAGAACTTTATCAAATATTATGACAATTAGGCATTTTAAACATTTTTCTCAAACTTTCCTAATAAATTTGAAATAAAAATTAAATTAGAAGCAAATATAATATAGTACAATATGTATGAAAAGGAATGTTATCAAAAATTATGACAATTAGGTGTTTTAAACATTTTTTTCAAGCTTTCCTAAATTGGAAATAAAAATTAAATTGGATGAAACAAATTTACTAGGAAAAAAATAAAGAACATCTTGTTAATTAATAATTCATTCATATCGAACAGATATTGTTTAGATTTATTTAGCTTGACATCCGAGAGACAATGAGAAAAAAAAGAAATCAATAGAGAGAGAAAAAGGTTTCCATTTTTAATTTATTTTATTTTTTTTTTTTCAGTCAGATATACCGATCAGCTTTTATTCGTTAATATCATGGACGAAATTATTCGTCGTCGTTTCGACAATGCACAACAATGATGCCAATTAACCTACAAAAGGGAATAATACCGATACTAGGCAGCTCGTTCGTTCGTTCGTTCGTTCATTGCTTCTTTCCTATGACTAAAAAGAGAAAGATAAAAAGAAAAAGAAAAAGAGACAGAGAGAAAGAGAGAGAGAGAGAGAGAGAAAGAAAGGGAATCTCGAAAACAGCAGTCTCATCCGTTAGTCCGTTGTCCCTGTCCATCCATTATACTATTATCCCCTCAGCAAACCTCACTAACACTTATACGATAGTCCACACATGGATAGAAATGAATTCAGGGATACTTATATGCGTAGAATCCATCCAGGAGTTAGCCACGCATCGGACTTAATGCCCTCGTCCACTCGTTCATAGCTTGCTATATCTCGAAAGATGAAGAGGAAGAATGTTTTAGTAACATAGCTGCAATCTACGAGTAAAGGAATGGGAGAATATTTCATGCTGAAAAGCAGCCTTTCAGAAAAGTCTACTGCCTTTGTTAACAGCTACCAAGTAAGAGAAGCTGACTAACGGATACTAAGTTACCAACGTGTTCTGTTTTGTGTATTCACCGATGATAACAACTATTAATTCTCTATCGTTAGAGTTATACATCCAAGATTTAAACGAAAAGTTTTCATTATTAAACAGAATCTTTCTTTTCTAAACGAAAATACAATCGAAATTATTCAAAATCTATTTGGATTTAGATTAGAAGAGATAAATGATCGAGATACTTACACACGTGTTTCGTTCTAATAACTTATGAAGACGTCACCGTTATGCAATCGGACGAATTGAAGTGTCAAATTCTCTTACAGCATCCAAGACATCTTCTTAGCAAATCTGGTGGTCGGATGACTCTCGAAAGACAGTTTAGTTCACATTCCCTTCTCGATCGTGCCAAGAAAGGCGCGAGGATTCGTCGTAAGTGTCTTTTCACATCGTTCCTTCGAGTTTTGCATCGAAAGCAGTCTCTTTTAGAGACTTTGGCAAGATTGCTATCTCAAATTTCTTGCATCTTCATCATCGTGAAAAGATAAAGAGAGAAATAGATGAAAAAAAAATAAAATAAAATAAACTAAAAGAAAAGAAAAAAAAAGGAAAGAAATAGAAAAGACATACACATCCTTGGCAAGTTCTCAAAGGCCTACGAGGCACGTTTCTCCTCTTTTTCTTTTCTTTCCTATTTCCATTTCTTTTTATCTATTTCTCTATTTCTCTTTCTAACGCATAAATGTCTCTGTCAGGAAGAAGTGATCGAAGGCAAACGATTTGAAAGTTGGTCAAAAAGCTTGTATGGAGTTCAGTTAGTCGTGATTCACGTATCTCATTATTTCATTCTCTAGTTCGTGGCTACTCGATTGCATTTCGATCGGATTTCACAATTATGATTAATATTACCGGTGGTGAACACTAGGGTTCGCGGTCTCGATTTAAATATCTCTTCCTCTCGGTCGATATCTCCGATAGCCCACGGATAGGAAACTAAAGCAGAACAAAACTAGCTGTTAGATATATATATATATATATATAATATAACTAATTTAAATACGGTTACTGTTTCCTATTTTAGTAAAATTAGTGTATGTTTGAATTTGTATTTTCATATGACATTCATAACAATCTATTATTTCCTTTCGTAAGCATATAAGTATCATTTTTTGATTTGTTTAATTAAACATTAAATTGCAATTTTTTTTGGGGCAACGTAAGATAAAATATCTAAATGAATTTTTACCTCTCAAATAAAAGCCTTCATACATATGTATAACTTACATAATAGTTATCGTCTCATATGTTTGTCAGAAAGATGGAAAATAATTGATACCAAACTACCTATCTTTTATCCGTAACGTAATCTCGCTGATTCATCGATTTCATTATCCGTAACGTTATTGAGAAGAAGAGAAAAAAAAAGTTTCCTTCGATCCTCGGGATCTCATTCGATTCGGATAAGAGATGCACGACCGTTACTAAATCATTACGCGTATCCATAAACGTATCGGGACAAAAATCTCATTTCTCCTGAATGCGCGCATACTTTACGTAACATGATCGATCGGTCAAGAAAGAAAGAAAGAAAGCACGATCTGTAGTTTAAAGCTAATCCTTTGACACCTTTGAATCGATTCTTCCATTGGCACTTGCGTTCCATCAAAATCATAATTGCAGGATCGCCAATTGATATCTAGGGAATGATTTTTATAAATCGCGTAAATCGTT